TCTCATGCATAAATAACAGTTTTTATTGAAAAGTTGAATTTTATTTAGTCAAATTTTTTGAATGCTTAATATATGCATGTATGAAGGTGATACATAAATTTGTTGATATCAGTTATTCGAATTCTTTTTCATTTTGAATGAGAATTTTCATATTAATTAAATAAACGTATAAATATAAATAATATATGAAGTTTTGAATTGAGTAAGGATGAATATATATATATATATATATATATATATATATATATATATATATATATATATATATATATATATATATATATATATATATATATCCTTTGTTTTATAATGATTATTTATTTTTCTTGGGTTATATATTCTCTAAATTGTTTAACTTGTTCTACAAATTTTAATAAGATTTTCAAGATACTTTTTTTTCTTATTATAATTTTATTACACTTTTTTGTGTGTAATTATGTTTAAATAAGTGTTCTTAATTTCATTTTATCAAATAATTTTGAAGTTACATATCTGATTATTTTTGTTCTTTTATAATATTTTTATTTATTATTATTTTTACTTCAGGATAATATTTAACTTTCAATTTTAAGTGTTCAATTACATAAAACTTTAACTTTTAAATTATTTTTTCTCATATCACAATTTTAATTACATATTTCTTTCTCTATATTATATTCAAATGGACATTCTTAATTTTATCGAATTATATTTGGATCAAATATTTTATTATCTTTAATTCTTTATAATATTCTTATTTATTATTTATTTTTAATTTATGATAATGTTTGACTATTAATTTTAAGTGTTCAATTATATAAATCTTTAATTTAATTCAAGTTTAAAATATGAAAAATCTATGTATAAATTTTAATTATTATTAATTTAATTTTTTTATTTGTACTATTCCATTTAAGTGATATATTATAAAATTTTAATAGTATAAAAAAGAAATCTTTATTAGAGATTTATATAAGTATAACATTTTTCTTAATACTAAACTTCCTGACTTTTAATATTGAACATTTTGATGATATTATGATTTCTTTGATGTGATTTTTATTTTTTTATAAAAATAATTTAATTAATATTTAAAACAGTAAAAAAATGAATATAGATATAGGAGTATATCTATTCTCGATGAGAATGCAAATAAAACAAAATTCATATTTCCTTAAATTTTAGACTAAAGATGAGAATGGAAATAAAAATAAATTTTTATTACAAAAATGAAAATGAGATAATAAAATTCGTACCATTATTATTACTATACACTTAGAACCAATATCACATGTCATAAGAAACAGTACTACGTATTTCCGTTGTGTTTTATATCATTTTTTTCATATATTTATTATTTTTTTATTCTTGTTTGTTTAATTTCAATTGTTTTTCAGAAATAAATTTTTATATATTTTCTTTGTACATCAATTTGAACGCTGTAAATCTAATTCTAATATTTTTAAAGAAATTCGATTCTACACATAAAAATTTGAATTATAAAAATAAAACTGCAAAGTGAAGGTAGGTCAAAGTGGTAAGTGTAAGAAGTCGGTTCAAACCTAACTAAATTAACCAAACCGTTTTGAATGAGACGACAAAGAGGGAGGACTGTACTGTGATCAAAACGACATCAGAATTTGTGACCTTGCAAAATTTAGGGTTTTCTTCATCCACATCTCACTTGTTAAATAAATGTTGTGAAATTAATTTACATTTAAGTTTTATTTTCTTAATCCTTTTAGAATATATTTTAATTAATCTTGACCATTTATTATCGAATTTGTTTCAGCGTGAGAAGATATATTAAAGTTGAAATATCATCTAAACGTGTATAAAATAATAATAATAATATTACAAAAATATTATTGTATTAAATAAGTTTGATAAGATTAAATTAAATTGAAAAGATAAAAATGTTGATTAGCTATAATTACTTTTTAGGAAAGTGATTGTCCTTTATGGCAGTTGAAAGTGATGAAATTTGAAGGTAGCTGAAGTCAATATATAATGTGGGAAGTCAACAACACTCAGCATTCATAATGCACCAATCTGAGGGTATATCACACACCATTAATATTGACTTTTTCTTTCTTTGACTTATTTGTTCCTTTAATACCTGGTTGGTGTACCTTAAAGTCACCTTTTGTCACTTTATTTCATCACTGCTTTTATGCTCATTGTGCTTCTTCCTCATCCTCACATTCAAGTGTCAATCCAAGTATAATGTTTTTTATAATCTTACTATTAACACAAAAACCGTTTATCACATTAGTGAATTTATATATGATGTGTAACAATATGAGATGGAAAATATGTTGTGATATTTTTATAATTAAATTATAAAATTTATATTTGATTTATAAATGTAAATTTTGATTTTTTATGTTTACTGTTATACGGATGGTTGACAATTCAAATATTCGTCTTTATATATTGTTTATCATTGCTGTTTATCTATTATGTTTAGAGGTTTCTACAAAATAATATCAAAGTCAGTAAAGATTCAATAATTCAAGTTATTAACATGTATTAAATGTTATCACTTATTTTTTTACTTCAAATTTGTATCTGTAAACTTCAGAATAAACTTTGGATTACTGGTGGCCTAAATACAACCTAATGGGTAATAATAATGTTTTGTATTAAATTGATTAGTGTTAGAGATAATATCTCTATAGACTGATCGCTTGATCTATTGAGCACAGTTGTTCAGTCTTAGGAACAATACATGATTATGTTTGTAACATGACTAACTCGTTGGACCATCTAATTCAATATTGACCGAACAATTACATGATACATCTTAAAAGTTATATTTAATTATATTGTTAATTATATGTAAGATGTAAATTTACAGCCCTATTAATTACTTTTTTTTTCTGTATTAATACATATTTTGAAGACACTAATTCTATTTATTACATACCAAATTTATAATTATTACACTCATTTAACTTTAATAACATGTTGATATATATTTTGTTTATCTAGGTTTCGTGTGTTTTTAATTTTTTTGGCAAATATAGTTAACCTTGTTGTAGATATAACATTAACAATACGCAAAAAAATACATGCAACTATTATGTACGGTAATTTCATCATTTTCATAATAATGGTTTCAAAATTTATATTTATATATAATGAATTTTGATTCGTTAATATCATTAAAAACAACTTCAAAATACTGTGTTACCTTGAAACTTGTTCCTCTTTTCTCTTACACGTTTATTTTTTTCATTACCAAACACAAGAACAATTGCCCCCGTGAGTCACAGCATTTATGTTGACAACTAAAACTTTTCCGTTTAAAAAATAAAATTACGTGTTTTATTCCGATGCATTTTTGTAAAGTTAGATATTGCGAACTAAACTTACAACTAATTCTACATTAGCAAAAACCAAACATAGGAAAAATCCTTAAAGAGAATTAAAATATAACATTAATTTTATCGTTCACAAGTGGATTTTTGACAATTTAATTTACTTATAATTTTATTACTCGCTTTTATTATTGAGTTTGATATCATGGTTTTCTTCATAAATAAATCGCTATTTCATATCAAACAGTTACATTTTTCAAACTATTTATTTATACTCCTAACTCACAAATCATGCACTTCTATGATATCTTTTATATACATATATATTCTCATGATACATTATTAAGAAAATGAAGTTTGAACAAACCATAATTTTTGGAAGAAAAAAACACAACAAAATTAATAGAGAATTGGGTTTAACTGATTCTGGGCCGAGCCCACTTATACGGAGTAGTAGCCTCTCTAAGTTCAACACCGTGGGTCTCAAAATTCTGACAAAACGAAGAGGATTACTCCTACACCACCGAAGCTTACTCGCTGCGCCATCACCATTTTAAAAAACTCTAAAATTATCCTATATGTTTTAAAAAACCATACACTCGTACTTCTCTTTTTTTAACAGATGTGAATAGAAGAAAAATTTCTTCATCAAATATGTCACATCCGCCACATCCGACTTTCTGTTTTCTTTTTAGCTTTTAATTTATTAATTTATTATATTTTAAATTAATATATACATATTATTTAACTTTTTTCTAAATTTGTTACATATTATATATAAATTAATTTATTTTATTTAATGAAATAATTATATTATATTAATTTAATTTAATTATATTATTTTTTAAATAATTATAATCAACGGATATGTCACATCTGTTTAAATTTTTTTTAATTTTTAGTTTACTAAAATATTATATTTTAAATTAATTTATAGATTATTTAATTTTTTTTTGTTTTTATAATATATTACATAAATTAATTTTATTTTATTTAATTAAATAATAATTATTAATTTAATTAATTTGATCTTTATTTTACTTTAAATTAATAATAATTATTTAATTTTATAAATTAAAATTAATTTCGTAATATATTATAAAAAAATTAAAAATAACCTATAAATTAATTTAAAATATAATATTTTAATAAACTACAAACTTAAAAAAGTAAAGAAAAACTTAACGGATGTGCATATACGTTTATTATAATTAATTAAAAAATAATTTAATTAAATTAAATTAGTAATAATTATTTAATTAAATAAAATAAAATAAATTTACATAATATTATAAGAAAATAAAAAAATTTAAATAATATATAAATTAATTAAAGTATAATATTTTAATAAATTAAGAATTAAAAAAGAATATAAAGCTTAAACGGACGTGATGTCCCTTGAAGATAAGAAGTGGAAGTGTAGAATTGTTTAAAATGTGAAGGATAGAATTAGAATTTTTAAAAAATGTGGTCGTACAGGAGCAATTGGGACGGTGCAGGGAGTAATCCTCCAAAATGAAACAAGAGGGAACCAAACTATTCAAATTGGGTCGCGCCAGTAAGACTATTACTTTCTGCACCCACAATGATGGAAAAAAAAATATAAACATGGTTGTTCCCTGCGGTAGAGAAAGAAGAAAAGAGAGAATGCTATAAAGAAAGAATAAAAGAAAAAAAATATTCGAAAAGTTCTTACTGAAATTCATTTCATATGTTTTGAATTAACATGCATTTTGATGTAATTCCTGATTTTTAATTTCTTATAAAACAGAGAGAGATTAAAAAAAAATCGAAAAGAAAAAATATCTGAGAAAAAAACAGAATCATGAGATGAGAATGGTCCAGAAAGTATTGTCCAGAGAAAGAGGTTGGATTGTTAGTGGAAGGTGTTGACTATGGAGAGAATGCTACGACGTTGACCTTTGTGTTTAGATAGAGAACACGGAAACTAGCGAGTGCAGTGCAGTGGGGTGCACCAAGATCGCTCCATTTCCAATCCAAACTGTAGAGTGCAGAGAAATGGCGGATTCGATTGTTGTGTTTCTGATCGACAAATTGACGAGGTTGTTGGTGGAGGAAGCCAAACTTCTCACCGGCGTGCGCGACCAAGTTACGTCGTTGCAGAGCGAGCTCAGGTTCATGAATATCTTCCTCAGGAACTCCTCCAAAGGGAAGCGCAAAGAGCATGACATGGTCGCGGAGCTCGTCAGCCAGATCAGAGACGTCGCGCACGAGGCCGAAGACGTCATCGACACCTACGTCGCCTGCATCATCAAGCAAAGCCGGAGAAACGTGATCGGGAAAGTCGGTTTCCGCGGTGTGGACCACGCGCTCATGCTTCACCAGGTGGCTGTGAAGGTCGACGGGATCAAGGCCAGAATCAAAGAGATCTTCGACAACAAAGAGAGGTACGGCATCGATGACGGAAAGAGAGGCAGCGAAGAGGAAGCGGAGCGGATTCGGAGGCAGAGGAGGGAGGTGGAGGAGGAAGAGGTGGTAGGGTTTGCGCTGGACTCCAAGGTTGTGATTGAGAAACTCACGGTGTCGGATTCTCGTCTTAAAGTTGTTTCCGTCGTCGGTATGGGTGGTTTGGGAAAAACCACGCTTGCTCGAAAGGTATATAACTCTAACCGAGTGAAGAACATGTTTCCTTGTCGGGCGTGGGGTTATGTGTCTAATGATTATCGACCAAGGGAGTTTTTCTTGAGCCTGCTCAAGTGTTTGATGTCCACGTCCAAGTACAGTAATTTGTTCAAGAAAAGAGAAGAGACTAGTGTGAGTGATGAAGAGCTGAAGATGAAGGTGCGAGAATGCTTGAACAGAAGCAAGTACTTGGTGGTGGTGGACGATGTTTGGCAGAAACAGGTGTGGAATGAGGTTAAAGGGGCATTTCCTGATGATCAAAATGGAAGCAGGATATTGATGACTACTCGTTCGGCTGAGGTGGCTTCTCACGCTGGTCCTGTTCCTCCCTACGCTCTTCCTTTCCTCACCAAAGAAGAAAGCTGGGAGCTGCTTTCCAAGAAGGTGTTTAGAGGAGAAGATTGTCCTTGTGATTTAGAATCCCTGGGAAAATTGATCGCTGATAGCTGTGATGGGTTGCCACTTGCCCTTATTGTGATGGCAGGGATTTTGGCTAACAAGAAGTCACCGAGGGATTGGTCTAGAATCAAGGACCATGTGAATTGGCATCTTGGGAGGGACAACACACTGAAGGACATACTCAAACTCAGCTATGACTCCTTGCCCGCGAGGTTAAAGCCTTGCTTTCTGTATTTTGGCATGTACCCTGAAGATTATAGGATCCCCGTGAAGCAGTTAATCCAGTTATGGATATCCGAAGGATTATTAACACAAGAAACTTCTGGAGGCCAAGACATACCAGAGCCGGAATACATTGCGGAAGAGTACTTGGATGAACTGGTGGATCGAAGCTTGATCCAAGTGGTAAGTAGAACCAATGATGGGGGTGTCAAAACATGTCGGATTCACGATCTTCTTCGTGACCTTTGCATATCTGAGAGCAGGGAAGACAAGTTTTTCGAGGTTTGTGGAGAGATTGATATTCAAAACCTCAATAGTTGTCCCCGTAAGTTGTCTCTCCAGGGTACTCTTTTTCATTTCTCTTCGAGTATCGTATCTGATTACACCATCTCGGCGACGCGTTCCTTGTTATGCTTTGGGCAAGAGGTGTACAAGGTTAAGGCAAATCACTGGAGATGGCTTCTCAAGAGCTTCAGGTTGGCTCGCGTGTTGGATTTAGGACGAATGAATGTTAACTCAATACCCACTGATTTGGAGAAGCTCATTCATTTAAGGTACTTGAGAATACACTCTCATAATCTTGAAACTATTCCACCTTCTATATGCAGATTGTGGAATCTAGAAACCTTGGATTTAAGAGGTTCGCCTATAAAATCCTTTTCTGGTGAATTATGGCAACTTAAACAACTAAGGCATCTTCTGTTGTTTGGACCCGTTGGGCTCCCAGAAATGCCCTCAGAAAGTAAAACTATGCCCAATCTTCAAACCCTCTCAACCGTGGCTCTTGATCCTCGCACAGCATCGTTGTTGGATAGTCGTAGATTCCCAGGGATGACAAAATTGGGTATACATTACGAAAGACGTGACAAGTGCAATGCTAAAATACAGTTACAGAGTCTCCATCGCCTGAGCCATCTCCAGAAGCTGAAAGTGATAGGCACTACTGAGATTCCTCAAAATGCAAATGTGTTTCCGTCGAACATCACCAAGATATCCCTCACAAAGTTTGGTTTCTTCAACTCCACTGTCATGCATACGCTAGGAAAGGTTCCCAACCTTCAAGTTCTGAAATTGTCATCGCAGACGAATGATACTAGATTTGACCTGCATTGTGCCACGGGAGGGTTCCTTCAGCTTCAAGTGTTTGAGATGATTGCAATCAAGGTCAAAATGTGGAGAGTAGACAGAGGTTCAATGCCACGTGTTCGTCGTTTGGTCGTCAGAAGCTGCAAATCCTTGACTCAGCTTCCAAAAGAAGTGTGGTCTTTGAATACCTTGCGGGAAGTGCAGGTCTTGTGGCCCTGTACAGAATTAGCAAAAGGACTCCAAAATTTGGTGATGAACAATGCTTGTAAGCTCGTCGTCTATCCTCTCTCAGCAAATGATGAATTAGATTTTCTCTAAATCAGTGGCTAATTAGTTCAAATACGCTTCATTTTTTTCCTTGGTTCATAGAAAAGTGTATTATTGTTATATTGTCACATTGGTCCAAACTATACCACTGCAGAATCGGAAGTAAATGAATATAAGATAAGTTAAGCAGTTTCTTAGCTTTCTTATCTGAAGGCCCACTTATTCACAGGTGACACCTTTTCCCTCATTGTCTTTGTCATATTTAAAGCTTGATTCCTTGATTGTATCTTCCCTGAACAAGCAAGGATATCTAATTTCAATCTGATTGATGCTGATTTCTTGGACATTCGAAAGGACTAGTGGCTGATTCCTAAATTCTAATTAACTAAGAATACAAATTGTTCTGTTAAATTGGACTTGGTTTAAGCAAAGAAACATGGCCATCTTCAACAGTGTGCCACCCAAAATTCTTCCTCAGTTTCGTTCAAAATGTATTTAAAACCTTGCAGTCATTTTGGCGTTGGTTTTGACAGAATAGGATCATGCTTTAATTTTCCACTGTTATTATATTAATTGAGAGTAACTTGTCTAATAATATCAATAAGTATGGTTTGCATATTCAAAATCGAGCTTGAAAAAAGTATGCATGCATGCACCTGTAGCTTTATTATTCTCCCAAATGAGATTATGTTGGATTTTATTTGAAGTAACTCCATATATTACATGAAATCTAAAAGCAATTACAATACCCTGAATTGGAATTATATTCAATGCTTATAAGCTAAATAAATAATATTTATCGAAAGACAAATTCAATGTTTGTTGACCTTGTGCAGAAGGTGAAGACTTAGTCTAAGCTTGTTGTCTATCCCTACAATCAATGAAGAATTAGATTCTCCACCTTTTCCATTATTTCTCTGGACCAAGTGGTCGGCGAGAATAATGGAGAGTTTTTCTATTATGATTGTAAAAATAATGCTAATTAGTGTCCCCAATACTCTAACACGCCTTATCATACTTTTAATAAAATAATTTTGTTTAATGATTACGCTTATAGTTAATAAATAATATCATAATTTCTATTCAAGTCATGCAATTTTCCTTCTATCTTTGAGGATGTCAATCCGTGGTAGCACATCGTAGTTTGTTTGAAAATTTGTCTTTCCATAATTCTTCAATCAACCACCTTTGAATGTGAAGTATAACGAAATCATTGTTTGGAGGGATTGAAGCCAAAATTACCTTCTTTTTCTTTTCTTTTTTTCCTTTTGGAATCTCATTTTAAAGATTTTAAACATTTAAGAATATTCAGTTTGATGTCATATCAAATTAAACTTAGATATTTTGTTCATATCTGAAACTAATTTGAATAATTTGTTTTCTTTAACTATAAAATGCAGATCAAATCTTACAATATAAACTTTATATACTTTTAATAAAGTTTAGGATAAGATCATTAATATCATATACGTTTGAATTAAATTTTAGTTAAAATTAAGTTAGTATGATTTCAAAATAGAAAGTATATATTTTATGTCAGATTTCATCATAAATTGGTTTTATAAATACAAATCACTTTAATATAAACTGAGGGTGTGATTTTCTGTGTGAGTTTTCCTTTTTTCTTCCTTTTATCTATCTTGTTCTTAACCATTCAATTACAATTGTTCATGGCATAATATTTCAATGACTGCATTAGTGATCTCATAATAATTGACTTTGTTTTCCATAGTACAGGTACAACAATATTTATAGAATACACGGTTTTATGTCTGCGGTTCAAACAAGAGTGTCAGAATTAATCAATTCTAATCAAAACCTACAAAACAGTTGAAAAAGTTAAATTGAATTTGAGAATGACATCATTGAAATACGATTTTATCAGTTAGTTTTTATTCTTCAAAACTAAATTACCTTAGTCTGCAAATACCCTGCTTCAAGGCTACAGATAAAGCCAATAGGAGAGAAAAAAAAAAACACATTCATAGTACCTTGATACATGCTTAATTAGTACATGACTTTTTCTCAATCTTGCTTTCTTTGGTATTTGCAACAAATCTTTATTTGTTGTGATTGATGTAAAAATCACTGCACAGAGATTGCATCCAAGAAATTCCCATTCGAAGACTTTATCTTTGGAGGGTTTCCCTTGATCAGATGAATTAAACCTTTAGCCAATGAGATTTCATCTTTTGGACAAGGAAAACCCATAAACTTTATCAGTTTAAGATGTTGCAGTTCAGTGCATTTAGTCTCTTTCATTATGCATGAATTGGTCCCTTCAGCAGAATAACTTTCAGGATCAATCTGCATATCAGTAAGTGAAAAATGAATTATGTCAGAAAGATTAACAACTAAAGCAGAACACAGGTTCAATTAATCCCCTATGAGGACACATACAGTCACAACAAGTTGCTCCAAGGAAGGACATAGTTTCAAGAAGGAGAATAAGGCTTCCATGCTGAATTCCTTCTTGTTATAGTTGTCAATCCACCATAACTCTCTTAATTTATAGAATTTGAAGCTCCCAGATAGAGGAGAAATCGATGGCCATATGAATTCCTGCAAAAAGATAACCTTGCTGGAGTTACATTGCTCAATGCAGAAAACTTAAAAGATGAGACATCTTGGTTTTGCTTCTTATCATTACTGATCAATTACCGTTAAGAAGTGAACTTTAAGTTTAATTCAATCTTACAAAACTGACTTATAAATTAAGGTTTGCATTCATTTATCTACTATAAACTCGTCTTATCACGAGCAGTGAGATTTCCAACCATGTAAACAAAGTATCTCTTAAAGTATTAAAAGCTCTTTCAAGGAACTGACATTTTTAGCCAGTGTTCTTCCACACAGACGAATGTAAGAATCAAACAGTTGACAATATGTTTAAAGAGCATGATTATCTGTTAATTATACCAGACCATTTTGATATCATAAGCATATTCTAAGTGATGAAAATGTGCATAGAAGTGTTAGGTTCAATCCTTGTTACAATTTCTCAATGAACATACAAGAACTACCAAAAGAATTCAATCAAACAAACATGACATACCTCAAAAGTCCATTTACACAGAGTAAGAACTTCAGAGTTCTTTATGGTTAATAGGGTTGCATCAAAATCCCTGGTGGTGAAACCAGTGCAGCTCGGTCCTAGTCTGAAATCAAGCATGGCACGACTGAGGTTGAAATGAAATTCTGGCCTAATCAAAGGAAGAGGCCCACGGTACCGAAAAGACTTGAGTTTAGAAGTTTTGAGATTGAGAGACTTCAACTCCAAGCAATCCAAGATGGTTAAACTGTGAAGCTCTGAGATGGAGTCAACACTCAAAGATTCCAACCCTCTGCAGTGAATGAGCACCAAGTTCTGAAGGTGCTTCAAATTTGAAACAATGGAAGAAGCTACCTCACTGGTGAAAGAAGTCACTGATTTGAGATAGAGGGTTTTGACTGAGAAAGTGGAAGGAAAAGACTGGTATGGCATGAAGAACAAGCCATACCCCATTTGAAGCTCTTCCTTCCAAGGGGTGAAATCAAGCATAAGCTTACTGTTATTTGCAACAGTTGCCAAAACCACATTCTCTTGAGCGAAGTGAAATTGAAGCTTTCTGGGATGCTTCAATGGATTAAGCTCCTGAAAATTTGTCACAAACCCTGCAACAACACCTATGATATCCTCTTCACTACCATGTCTTACAACAGCTTCATTCCACAGGTCTCTCCATCTGGTAGAAAGGAGACTGGTTTCTAGTGCTGATTCGTTTGGCAGAAAAGAAACTATGCGACCCAGAATTTCATCTGGTAGATTACTCAACAGATCCTTTCCCATGTAATCTCTTCTTTCAATTTCATCACAGTCTCATCTATAATCTATATACATGTACAAAATTAACTGCACCTCACCTTTTCTGCTGTCGCCATAACTACATTTGCTACCATAATTTAAAACAGTAAGGAGACACAATAAAGGAAAGATGAGGCCATTAAATGCTGCTTGAAAATGTACTCTTGTTTCATTAAGACGACACATACTCATGTATATAGTCAAAATGTAGTTTTCAGGAATCTAATATCCAAAATAGGCTTTTTCATATAATATTTTAATAAGCAGATGAAAACTTTTGAACAGTTGTGACTCCATGGTACCCAAAAATGAAAAGATTTCTCTCCAATCAAATGAGTAGCTTCTAAAATGGAAAAATTTCAACTTGCTTGAGATCTTTCAAAGGGTCAAGCTTTCTTATAGCTTGCTCATTTGAAAAGGGGAAAAGCTTGTAGCTATGGACAATGGACCTATTACATTGTTTATTATTATTTTTCTTACCATTGAGATTTTGAACGGAGAAAAGCAGACTAGGACCGTCTCTATCACATGGACTTGGTAAAAAAAATACAAATTTTAAGGTAAAGTCAAGATAATAACAATATTGCTGATAGAAGCAACATAGGATTTCGTGCTATTCTTGAAATTGGTTTTCTAGAAACGCATTACATCTTCATTGTTCAATGTCTCCATTCTTGTCACTAATATTAAATGTGTCGGCACGTGAAAAAAATAAAATAACATATATTTACATTTATTAACCGTTTTATAACAATAAAATAATTATAAATAATTAACTTTTGGAATTTTTCTTAAAAAGAAATAGTATAAAAAATGAATATAAAAAATATGTTGAGTTTTATAAAGATATAAGTACAAAGAATATTAAATGTGTGATTGTGAGGCATAGCATAGGTGTCGACGTAAACAAAATAAATTGTTGTAAATTATTTAGGTATTGAGAAGACAATGGTCGTGGGGATCAAATCTCTCTTCACACGACACTTCTTTTTAATAAAAACTGACAAAACTTGGAAAATTTGAGTAGCAAAACTCTGTCATAAAAATAATGGTTTATGTGGACTTTAATTTTCTATCCTATAAATTTGATTTTATTATTTAGTGATTTTTTAAATAGTTTTTAAGTACATTCTTTCATGTTTCTTAAATCTGTGAAATTAAATAGATCAAAAGAAATTAATAAAGACTAAACAAAGTGAAACATGCATCTGATAGAAATTTACTTAACCTGTGTATATATATATATATATATATATATATATATATATATATATATATATATATATATATATATATATATATATATATATATATATATATATATATATATATATATATATATATATATATATATATATATATATATATATATATATATATATATATATATATATATATATATATATATATATGAAGAAAGTTGTTCAAAGTTTTTTTTTTTGCTTAAAGCATAAATGAAAATCGCATATGTTCATTTATAATAATAGTTTAAAAATCTTGTTATAAATTCTTAAAATAAAACAATATATAAAAAAATTCAATGCAAAAGAAAACAATACTTACAAATATTTGCATATAGTGTTGTAAATTGTAATAAGGAGTATTTTTATATATTTATCATGACATTTTGCATACACTCATAATTTATTTACTATAAGTACGAGTTTATCGTATGTCTCATTATATTTATTTTTACTACATTCAAAATAGGTATACTCTAGCCTTGCTAATATTTTTGGTTATATTTAATTCAATTTCATTAAATAACTCAAAAGTGATACATTAATTTATATAGAAAAAAATTATAAATACTAAATCTTTAAGTTTTATATGAAAAGTGGTACATATATAGAAAATTTATATAGAGTATCACCTATAAGAATTTCAACGATAATATACTTACAAAATAATATAAATTTTATACCATAATTTCAAAAGTATGATAACTCAATTAAACACAAATTTTCAATAGTTCTGAAATTTATTTGTTTCATATTATTACTCATTAATTGTTACTATTTTATATTTCTTTTAATTCATACCATTCCCAACTTTTCATATTTTGTTATCACTATATTGCTCTTAATTGTCAATATTCCTCTCTTGTTTTATTCTTTATTTTTTTTATCAAATCCCTTGCTTTTTTCTATAAAAGGAAACTCAATTCTTTTTTTTTTTTTTACTTTTATGCTTTCCCATATTTACTTGATCTTTCATTTTTATTTATTTTTTCTCATAAAACATCATAAAAAATTATCATATTAATGAGCAAAGTGAATTCATAGTTTAACATTAAAATTCATTACATTACATGACCCTATTAAAGGAGGGAATAATAATAGTAGAGAAAAGCTAAAAAGGATTGCAACTCATTAGTCTAACATAAAAGATTACATCTAGAAATTCCTTGTTCATCTCTACAAAACCAGAGAAAGAGAAATCTTAATTCCTACAACATAAAAATGGAGTACTAAGAATCCTTATCAATGCTTAACAATCTCAAAAGGATCTTAAACCTTCAGCAATTTTATTCACTCCTGAATATAAGAGCACAAGCACACCTCAACATTTATCAGAAAGCAAAATCTAGAAGTCACTGCTTGAAAGAGGTTCATGACCATCATCACCAATGAAGATGTTATCATAGATAATTGCAGCAATAGCTGCACCAATGAATGGTCCAGCCCAATAGACCCAGTGATGAGTCCATTGCCAGGTAACCACAGCAGGGCCAAAGGACACAGCTGGGTTCATTGATGCACCATCAAAAGCACCACCAACTAAGATATTGGCACCCACAATCAAACCAATTGCAATAGGGGCAACAATTCCCACATTCCCTTTCTTTGGATCCATTGCTGTTGCATAAACTGTGTATACCAAACCAAAAGTCATCACAACTTCAAAAATCAATGCATTCCACACAGACACACCAGGGGATAGAGAAAAGCCTGATGTTTCCTGCAATGTACATGTTACAAGGAAGAGTTTCAATTTCAACCATGAAATCAGTGCAAAAGGTTACTATCAATTGCTAGTGGCAGTGTTAAAGCTGAAGGAAGATTAAAGGATTAAAGGGTTACTACCATTCCACCAGTTGCAGATTTCAGAAGAATGCATGCAACAACTGAACCAAGTAACTGTGCAATCCAATACAGAATACTTCTCAGCAGGGTTATGTTTCCTCCTATAAAGGCACCAAATGTGACTGCAGGGTTCACATGACCACCAGAATGAACTGCCCCAACAGAAACAGCCACAAAAAGTCCAAATGCATGAGACAGTGATGCAAGTATTAGACCAGTAGGTGTTGCAGGTCCATTGTCGGTAAGCTTGCCTGCCAAAATAGCCAATTAATAGCTACACGCAAAATCCTCACATTGTTGAGCCTAAACAACACTAAAATAGAGGACATGACAATTGAAACTGGTGTTCAAAATTTCAACTCTGGTTTAAAAGTTTGCAGATATTATGCAGCTAGCATTATTCAGAATGGAAGTGTAGAACTACTGCATGTATGTATGTGTGATTGTGAGTGAGTCTTACCATTTTGTCTTTTACTTGATGTAAGCACCTTGATAGGGAGAAATTATTACATGATCATCAATCTTTATGCGATTAATGATTTAATTTAACTTTATTATTCTTTCTTATGAATGTTTTTTAAAAAAACAAGTCTTATGTCATTTAGAGATTGATTGAAACCAAACCACAAACACATAATATTCTAGACCATATAAGAATTTCCCCTCAAGAGAAAGTCTCAGATCCAATATCTGACAAACTTTACACTAAAGTCCTAAAAACTTCAAATTTACAGTAAATTATTCTGAAATGCAATGTAAGTTCAAATGGGAGTAGGATAAGTTTTTGGAATGAAAAAAAGAGTGTGAAGAGTGCTCACTGTAAGCCATGCCAGATCCTTCTCCAACAAAAACAAAAATGATCATGGAGAAAAATTCTGCAAATGCTGCTCTAATTGCATCAGGTTGGGCAGCCTCTGCAGGGGACCCAATTGCAATTCTATACATTGCCATTGTTATTGGGTAGCTCAGGAATCAGAACAGAACCTCAAGAAACAGAACAAAACTAAACGTGTTTCTGGCTTTTCATTTCTATACAATTTGCTTATGAATGAGGACTAACTGTCAGAGTGATATTCGCACTCTCAACATCAAAATCAACGGCCAAGGAAACGGTCAGTGACAAATCTCAGGATTCTTGCAAGAGCTTCTGCTTCATAACGTTTGTAACATCAGCTAAAACAGCGGCTAGCCAAATAGGATGTTATTGGTTTGTCTAAGAATATACTTGCCATCCTTTACTTTGACTCTTTTGTGAATTCAAAAATAATACTTCAATATACATAATTTTTTTACATACATTATTTTTTTTTATTCTCTTCTTTCTTTTATTTTCTTTTTTTTTGAAAAATTATAAAAATTAATTCTTTTATAATTTTTTATTTTTATTATGTGTGCCAAATAAATGTAAACATGTGTCATTCTATCGTTATTTTTATAAATTTTTACATTCTCTCATTTACTTTCTTACACTTTATTTCTTATTTTTTTTCACTGATATTAAATTTTATTATTTTAAATGACATATTACTCTTAAAAAGTGAATGTCAAGTGATTATATTGAGCGTAAAAAAAAGACATTTCTCATCACCTTTAGTTAGATACACAATGTAGTAAGATGGAGTTTAATTATCAAGCAATTAGTCACATGTTAATATATTGGAAAATATTATTTTGACACCCAATAAAAATTTACACATACTTTATATTCATTAGTTTGTCCTTCAATTTCTCTCTCTCTCTCTCTCTTTTGTTACAAATATAAAAGTTAATTTTGTTAATGATCAAAACATTTGTACAAGTGATATGAATGTAGTGTAAAAAAACATTTTTCATATATATTGTCATTCACTCTATATGTGAAGAAAATGATTTATTGTTTCTGTGAAGTTCATCTTCCCTTACGGATTAAGAAAATGTTGTACTTTTACACAATTATGTTTGGAGACCAAGTTTGATTTTCCCTTAAAACAACACCTTATTTACCCAAAATTATATTAAATACCTACAGAAAGGACAGCAAAACAGA